TGTTGCCTTTATCAAGCATTTAAATGCAATGACTTTCCATAGCATACAAATAAGCATGACTATTCACCTGACAAACTCAAAGGTGAATGCACACAAAGGCATGGGGTGCTTTAAAACTGAAGTACACTGAAAAAAGTGAAGATTTGTGTGTCAAAATATGAATTGATATGTAATTTTGGCAGGTCTTAAAACTGAAAATTAACCAAAAGCTATGCATTTTTTTACTTAAATGATAGGAAGGTTCTCATTCATGCATTTCTTAGCTCTATGTATATTTTGATGAATAACCTCATCTAAAAAATACATAATAAAAGTCTTGAATTAGATATTCTAATTAAAAAAATAAATAAAAAAGAAGTACAAAATGGTTCTTAATTGAACCCTTCTTTTATTATTTTATAAAGATATATAATACCTTCTGATTTCAGTGCTGATCTAGGTACAGTTCGAGGTTTTTGCGTACACAAAATCCAATATCTCTGTAGACATTCTTTTCAATTTTTTTTTACAGCAGTTCATGTGAAATTAAATTTTCCTCCAAATTGATGGTTGCAATACGGTTGGTGACGACCTACAAAGAAAAAAATAACAAAATTATGTAATATTTAATTAGTCAGAGTTGATTTTAAAGTGCAAAGTTACCTTAACAGCGTTTTACTGCCGGTCGGGAGAAGACCAAGTGACCATATTTCGGTTCCCCAGTCACCCTTGGGGGAAGAACAATTTGATGAGGCCGCACAAAATGCCAATAACGTGAAAGGGACAATTACTTGTTATTGTAATCGTGCAAAACAAGTTCAACAGTGACTAATGAACCAGAAGGAACTGTTTCTTCAAAAATTCAAGCAAGTTTATAACTGCTACATCATGGTTTAGAGAACTTGCGAGAAGACGTCTTGAAATTAAATGCATTTTATCCTGTTGACATGTCATCCTGCCTTACTACTCAAGTCGATTCAGAAGCACAAACGACAATATATTTTTGTAATTAATTAAGATGTGTCACGTAGCATTTGAGTGCAAATAAAATTATAGATTTGATTTCGTGACGCCATCTGCTTCTCTCTCGACATTTATTACAATTTCAGTCTTAAATATATCAAAGTGAGCTCGTTGTTTGAGAGGGAAAATATTTCCCTGTGTAAATAATGTCTATTATTAATGAGATAGAGGTGCGATTAGAAACGAGGATGAATGAGTCACACAATGCTCTCTGAACACGAAAACAAATTGTCCCGTTTATAAATATTGAACTTACTTTTACACAACTGAAGTCAAGCTAAATGTTCTTTCTTTATGAAATTGTGATATGAGACGTGTAAACAAACGATAGTTCTCTCACTTCGTTGCCATCAGCAGATGTTGCTGTAGTTTGTCAAAACGCACACAAGAAACACTACGAGTTGAAGGAAACATTATACTTCATCAAATTGCTTCCAATGACAAAAGTCATGGCCCAGTTCGCAAAGGAAGTTCTCAGATAAGAGCTTAAAGATTTAAATATAGGTAGTGAATTTTTACCTCTACAAAATAGCTTAGGGCTATTTTGGAATCTGAATACCGACTCGTTTATATTTACTGCACCACATGTGGACAACCCTTATACAAGAAAGGGACTGCTGTCTGCTGTAAGCAGCATAATTGACCCTGTTGGCTTCCTTTCTCCACTTTTACTGTAAGTGGAAGAATGTTATTAAGACCAATGTGCCCAGAAGCTATGGGTTGGGATGAGACATTGCCAGATGTTAATAAAGGCTATTGTCAGAATTGGACTAAAAATCTGAACTTGTTGAATGATTATCAGATCCCCAGGATGTATGCAAAAACATCAATCAGTACGACTAAAGATCTTCAGGTTTTAATCTATTCAGATGCATCTGAGCAGGCTGTAGCTGTAGCTGCATATCTTAAAACAACAGATTTGAATGATGCACATCATCTTGGTTTCACCATGGGAAAGGCAAAGCTTGCCCCACAAGCTGGAAATAGTATTCCTCGTCTAGAATGATGAGGAGCGGTACTTACTACAGAGATAGGACATCTTGTGTCGCATCAACTTGAACTTCAACCGTCGGAGATAAAGTATTTTAGTGACAATAAAGTGGTTTTCGGATACATTAAGAACAAAACACGAAGATTTCACACGTATGTTAGCAGCAGAGTAGCATTGATCCAACAATTCACATCTCATGAACAATGGATAAATGTGCCTTCTAGCCTAAACCCAGCTGATGAGGGTCCAACATTCATATTGCGTGATAACATGAATAACAAACAGTTAGATGAAAGTAAGGACTTTCCTTTGACTGAACCTGAAATCGACAAAGAAATTCGACCAGTGCAAGTACTTAAATCAACAATTTCGGTAGAAAAACCCATACATGAGCTATTTACTCATTACTCATCTTGGAACAAACTCGTGAATGCATTCACATTGTTACGTCATATTGCGGGATCATATCGAAAGGAAAAGGACTCAGCATGTAAGGGATGGCATTTTTGTAAGGAATGGAAATCTATAGATATGACACAGGACACACGAATATTTCTATTGAGACAGATTCAGGAAGCATTTTTTAAGTGTAAAATTGAAAATCTCAAAAAAGGTCATGCAATCAAAAAGGACAGTCGTATCATTTCATTGTCTCCATATCTTGATGAGGACGAAATACTTAAAGTAGGTGGACGTTTGAATTGTTTAAGAAACAAGTTAGGACTTGCTTCAAACAATCCTATCATAGTTCCGAAAAGTCCTGTAGCCACATTATTGATAAGACATTACCATAAAAAACCGGTTTTTGGATTATTGGAGCCAAGAGACTCATTTTTCAACTTATTAGAAGCTGAGTGCTCTGTCGCAAGCTTCGTGGTCAAGAAGAAACACAGAAGATGGCTGATTTGCCTCAGGACCGTCTAACTCCTGGACCACCCTTTTCTGCTGTAGGAGTGGACACCTTTGGTCCGTGGAACATAATAACTCGTAAAACACGTGGTGGAGCTGCTCAGAGTAAGCGATGGGCGATAATTCATTGATTGATTGATTGATTGTTGGTTGCTTAACATTTACTCTTTGTTGCTGTTTGATTTTTTTTTGGGTGGCTCAGTATTCATACATATCGCTATTGTGTTACAGTGCTATGGTCATTTTGTACTCTTGCCTTCAAATTTGGCTTATGGATTTATCTTTAAAGTTTTTATTTGCCATTTTGTGTTTCTCTGTTGAAATAGTTTAAAATTTTTTTTTATAGTAATTAAGATTTTAAAAAAAATAATGGTGACTGTGATACATTGTACCCCACATTTTGATATTTTGACATATCATGTCTGTTTGCTTTGCTAAAAAAATGTTGTTAATATAATGAAATTCTATGTCTCTCATACGAGTGAGATGCTGTGTCTCTCATACGAGTGAGAAGCCTAGCTATCTGTAAAACCAAGGGAAAGACGTAAGGGGCCTTAGTTAAATGTCCACGGACTTTTCAGAGCTCCCGAAAAAGTAACTGATTTCATAGAAGAACTGTCTTATCAACGTATTTATTGTGATAAATATTTGATAAATAATCTACCTAGAAGTATTTATATCTTGAAGTAATGGTAAAAATGGGTAACGAAGAGTCCTTTAATGAAAACTCTGAAAGAGACCAAACAATAACAAAAATGGCGTCGTATGCGGATGCCTCAAAAACTGAAAATGATAAAAGTAATGCTCAAAACAGTGACAACGGGTTCTCTGCAGCCAAACCCGTATTTATATTAGAGACTGATCTCTTCGGAACTATAAAACCAAAACCTGTAGACTTTTTAAATCATGCTCAGTTGTACAGTGACTTTGGCCATGTAGTGGAAGACAGCCATTTGAAAGGTCTTCAAAGGGTTAATGGAATGTGGCGGGTTTATCTTGATAGTGAGTCAGATAGGGAACATTTGATAGCTAATGGTCTCACTATCAGGAAAAAACACATACATGTATATGATAGAAACCCAAAATTTGTAGTTAAAGAACACATCAGCTACTTACGCATCCGGATAAAAAGCGTACCCTTATCAGCAGACGACAACCAAATTGGTAGAAATCTTGAGACCGAACATAATCTCAAAATTCACAACTTCAATCGGGAAAGGCTACGTATCAACGGATTTCTAGCCAACTGTCAAACCGGAGACCGGTTATTGATGGTAAGTCCAGTACCTGGTATACAGCTACCTAGATTCATGAGTATAGGAAAATACAAAGCGCTACTCATCCAAAAAGACCAAATTGTAGTAAATCCTTATGCTAAATGCAACAAGTGTTTACAGACGGGACACAAACAGGAGACCTGTGACAATGACTGGGTGTGCAACTCCTGTGGCAAATCAGGTCATAAAGCCAAAGAATGTCAACAACCGATGGACGATCCAGCAGCAGATCAAGATCAGAATTGTGATTCTAATGTTCCTGATAGTGTACCTGAAGCTGCTAACGTTGATAACGTTCAAGATGAAACTAAAGATAAGCAACCTGCAAGTGAAAGTAGTGATGATTCAAATGATGACAGCGAAGATGATGAACAACAATTAGTAGTCTCAAAAGAACGTAAACAAATTACTACGAACAATGAGCAGACAAACAAAAAAGACGAAAAGACAAATAAAAAAAAAAATCAAACAAAAATAAATCAAACAAACAAAATCTGCCCAAGTCAGCTTCTGGACCCATGGATCACTATATGAACTTTAAAGATCCTAAAACTCCAAGCCAATCAACTGGGAAAAGGCAAGCAATAACACCGATCGATGAATTACATAAACGAGTAGTAGAGCCGACAAAACAGAAGACAAATCCCTAACCAGTGACCTAGTTAACTTAAATGTACAGTAGTGTGTTTTTCAATGCACAGTTTTTGTGCATATGTATATATGTTAGTTGTATTTTTATCTTAACTGAAAAATGTGAAAAAAATAATTCATTGTGTGATACAATAATATTAGATTGTATACACTCTGTAAGGAAAAATATATTAAATGTTGATATGAAATATTTTAATATGATTATCATGAAAACAAATGAACATGATCAAATAGTTGATCCATTGAAAGTTATTATCATCTTTTTAGTAACCAAGAATCAATTCAAAACACGTGTAAATCCCAATCTGAAGGGTTCCAGTATGATTGGTAAATTGATTAACTGTAGCTGCGTTCCACATCACTAAGTTGATGAAATCACTTCCTTGAAATATAAAATCCGTGTTAATAAATGTCTCAATTCCTCACATACATGTACCAGGAATAACTTTAAAACTGAACAAGATCGGCCATATACATGTACATTATCTCACTAAGTTCACCTGGACACAATTAGTATCAATTTTAAAGATTGGCATATTAAAAACACCACTATTGCCTTAGGTACCCAAAAACTGAAAATTAGTTCCTTCTATATAGTTCGTGTATTTTTTGTACAAGCTACTTCCACATCCATGGTGATTGCCACTCTAAAATACCTGAAAAGAATTGAAACATATGTAAATAAAAGTTATTTGTTTGTTCTTTTACAATATAGTTTATATCAAACGCACACATCAATAAACAACCATTTAAGTAGGTCAATCAATGTAGTCGTCAATGTAAACATGTATCGTCTGTCAAACACAAAATATCTGCAACTATATTTAAATGTTCAAAAATATTTTCTCTTTTTAATTTGCATTATCGTCATACATGTGACATACCTAATTAAAAACAGTATAACTACAGTTATATTCATGCAGACCCTATTCCAAAAATCCACAAATTTCTCGGTTTTCACCGAATCTAAAAATAGATTACTCGATAAAACAATTCAGAGATCGATGGGAATCATGATAGCGTCTTTCCTGATTATTGGAAAAGTGTATAGTTATTTGAATGATATATTTGTATATTTAAATACACTTAAGCTTTGTTATTCTTATATTAGATACATAGTATTGATATGTAAACAAACAAAATTTAGCTCGAAAGTGGTTAGCAAAATCAAATCTGTTATTTATTTTATGTTACACTGTTATAATGGTCATTTCTTACAACTATCCCTCTTTATAATGATATTTTTATTACTATATTGTGTCTTTGAAAAAAAGAAGTTAACAGTGCATTTAACCTTGTGTATATACAAACATGTAAAGAATGTAATAAGGCATGTTGTTCTAATAATAGTCTCATAAACATGTACTATTGGGTGGGTTATTACACTAATTATGAGTACCATAATTGTACAGTTACATTTAATGTATAAAAGTGAACAGTTCCTAGGTAAAAACAATGAGTGACAATATACATATTATATCCTTAAACTGTCAAGGTTTAGGACAGAAAGAGAAAAGAGAGAGATTATATTTGTGGAATAAACATGAAAAATGTAATATATTATTTATACAAGAATCCCATCTAATAGAGAAAAATGAACATATTATTAATAGTGAAGTAAAAGGTAAATTTTTTCATCGCTATGGAAGTTCCCAATCCAGAGGCGTTTCAATAATGATTAAAGACAGTTTAAATTATAAGCTAATAAATGAAGTTAAAGATAATGATGGGAGAATTATTTTGATCAACATTGAAGTTAACGATAACATTTTTACCTTAATAAATGTACATGCCCCCAACATTCATACTAACAGAAATATTTTTTTTAAAAGCGTAAATAACATCATAGAAAATAATCGCTTAGGTATCTTAATTTTAGGAGGGGACATGAATGAAACCCTATTAAAGATAGATAGGAAATCAAATAGCTCTCATAAATACTACAAACCAGTAAATAGTCTTAAACAGCTCATTAAAAAAACAAATTAATAGATTTATGGAGGGAAATAAATCCAAACAAAATTCAATTTACATGGAGAAGGAAAAACAATACGAATATAACAAGTAGAATAGACTTCTTTTTGATCAGTCCAGACATAAGGCCACACGTAATCAATTCTGATATAAGACCTGCTATGATATCACATACTGATCACCAAGCCATTTCGTTAAAAATAAGACAAAATCCCCATGGCAGAGGAAGAGGTTTCTTTAAAATAAATAATAGTATTTTAATAGATGATAATTATAAAAACCATATAAACAACCTTATTTTAAAATATAAAGAAAAGGCACGTACCAGAGATTCTAGAGAGATTTGGGATATCTTCAAATCTGAAGTAAGGGACATAACTGTAATGTATTGTAAATACAAGTCATCTGAAAAGAAAAATAAAATAAAAGATTTAGAAATGAACTTACAAAGATTAAATAATAAAATTAATCCTTCAAAAGAAACTAAAGATGAAATAGAAAAAATTGAAAAAAATCTAGGAAATCTTTATAAAAATGAAGTTAAAGGTGCACAAGTAAGATCCAGAGTCAAATGGTTAGAAGAATGGGGAAAAAAAAAACAAAATTCTTTTAAGGTTTAGAAAAATCAAGACAAACAAAAAAAAATATTTCGGCATTGAAAGATAAGCAAGACAAAATCATAACAGAGCCATCAGAAATTTTAAATATATAAAAATGTTACTGTGAAAATTTATATAATAGTACAAATCCAGATGTTAATAATATTAAGCAATATGTTGAAGAAACAAAAATTGATCATAAATTAACTGATAACGAGAAAAGCTCTCTAAGCGGCAACATCTCAATAGAAGAATGCACAGAAGCCATTTTTAATATGAAGCTAAACAAATCACCAGGTATAGATGGTCTAAGTGTTGAATTCTATCGCGCATTCTGGGATAGTATAAAAGAACTAGCTGTAGAAGTTTTCAATAAGTGTTATGAGAAAGAAGAATTAACAACATTACAAAAAATAGGAATAGTATCTTTATTGTACAAAAAAAAGGACCCACTATCCCTAGACATTTATAGACCTATAACTTTACAAAATGTAGACACCAAATTAATAGCCTATACTGTAGCCCAACAGTTAAAACCTGTTTTATCGAAAATAATAAATAGTGATCAGAATGGATATGTAAAAAATAGGTACATTGGTTTCAATATCCGACAAATTCAAGATATCATAGATTACTCTGAAACTTTTAATATAGATGGTGCTTTATTATTTATAGATTTTTCAAAAGCTTTTGATTCGTTAGAATGGTCATTTATGTATGAAGCTCTTTTAAAATTTGGTCTCCTGCATTCCTTTATTTAAATGGGTTAAAACTTTATATAATGGTGTCAAAGGTTGTATGCTCAATAATGGGTGGATTTCTGAAACCTATAGCATCTTTCGTGGTATTTGACAAGGGTGTCCCTTGAGTTCGATTACTTTTGTTATAGCTGTAGAGATTCTGGCATGAAGAATAAGACAAGATACAGGTATTAAAGGATTTCAAATCAAACTTGATTCTAAAACACATAGTCTTAAAATGTCACAACTTGCAGATGATTCTACACTTTTTCTTAAATCAAAACAAGAAATAAGCCTGGCATTAAATTTAATTGAAGAATTTGGAACTCTTTCTGGTCTTAAACTTAATAAATCAAAAACTGAAGGAATATGGCTAGGTAAATTAAAACATTCTAAAGATAAATATGAAAACATTAGTTGGAATAAAAGCCCCATTAAAAGTTTAGGTGTATATTTAGGAACTTATTAAGTTAAATGCAATAAATTAAACACAGAAAATATTTTGAGGAAGTCAGAAAAAGCAATATCAAATTGGAAGAAAATAAAGCTTACAATGATTGGGCGAAAAACAGTAATAAAAACATTAATTATACCAAACATAACCTTTTTAGCATCAGTAACCAATTTATCGAGAGACTTTCTAACACAATTTAAAAAACTAATATTTAACTATATATGGCAAAACAAAAATGAGAATAGAGATCTACTATATGTAATGATTATCAGGAAGGAGGTTTAAAAATGATTGATATAGATAGTTATATAACATCAATTCATATATCTTGGGTTAAAAGGTTAACAACAGAAGAATTTTCAAATTGGAAGGTTATACCTTTATATTACTTTAACAAATTTGGAGCTAACTTCGCTCAATTTAACATGAACCCTGAAAATATATATGACATACCAAATTTAAAAAAAACTATGCCAGAATTTTATTTAGAAATATTAAAAAGTTGGTATAAAGTACATAATAGTTCCAAGATAAGCAAGGGGTTAAATTTCAAAAGTGTAAGACAGCAATTCATTTGGGGTAATCAATCAATTAAATTAAATGGTAAAAGTCTTGTTTTTCCAAACTGGATAGAAAGTGACATTTTTTTTATTAATGATATCATAGATAAACAATGTAATATCTCCCAAAAATTAATCTTAAATAAATTGAAAGAAAAATCAAACTGGATAGCAGAACTTTCTAAACTAAAATCTGCAATCAAAAAGGAATGGAAAATCATGTTAAAATCAAATCAATCAATTTCAACTAAAGTTCAAATAGACAGAAATCTTTACTTAGAAGCAAAAAACAAGGCCAAATCAATTTGCATTAAAAAATTAAAAGCTAAAGATACATATAATTATATCAAAGGTATAGAAAGTGACACACCTATTGGCTTCATAAAATGGAAATAAATATTCAATCTAAATTCTTCAAATCATACACATGATATATTAAACTTTACATTTCACCAGTTACATGATAACAAACTAAAAATGTTTAGGTGGAAATTGATCAATTATATATTACCATGTAAGCAACTGCTTTATCAATGGAAAATAATGAAGGATAATCAATGTCATATATGTCACCAAGTAGAAAATTATGATCATTTTTTTAAAAAGTGTGAATTTTTACAAGAATTTTGGATTAAAGTTGGGTTACTACTTGATAAAATAAAAATAGGTACACATATTTTATCAATACTAACTTAATACTTGGATACAAAATTCATGACAGTTCATATTTTGATATTAATGTGTTGTTAACAATTGTTGTATTTGCTGTTTACAAAAGTAATTATGCATCAGAGTTAAAACACAAGTACATAGATGTATATAGTGTTTTTAAATTAGAATTCTTAGAATGGTATGAAAATAGTATACTCTTAGAAAGAAGATGTAGTAAATCTTTGAAAGATACATTTAAATATATCTAATTAACCGCAATGTAATTCAATAAGAGAGGTGTGCAAGTACTCATGGTTGAGTAGTTGTGTGACAGGGAGTGTGAGTGTGCAAGTTTTGTGACCATGTTTTTGTGTAAGTATATGTGTGTGTCTCTGTTTATGTGAAAGTTAAGACATTATACTCGTAGAGCAACACTATGTGTCTCATTTATGTTTTATGTATACTGTTTCTCTGTTTACACGAAACGATTGGCAATACTTTAAACAAAGTATCAACAAAAACTCATTCTTTATCCATGTTTTTGATCATGTAAACTTACCATCAGAATGTCATCAATGATTGATATATACTCATAATGCTTCAAGTTTTCAGTATTCTGTAGCTTGTACAAGTTATCGTTAAAAAAAAACAAAACAGTTATTTCATTAAATTTAAAACTTACCAAATTAAGTTAAGAATATTCCAACACACAAGAATGAATAAAATACACGTGTTCGAGATACATAATAAACATCTATACCACGTGATATACAATTAAAATAAGTAGAAAAACGTAAACAGAGAGAACGTATGTTTTCCGGATTTGTGGCTATGCAGATTTTGTAAACTATATCGATTGTAATATTCTATTAACCACTTTTGAAACTTATAATAAGTTTATCTTGTGAATCCCCTGGTTCATTTGATAACTCACACAGGGATAAACCTATTGGGATAGTTGTACCTTTTAGGGTATTTGTTAACAACCAATTGTACAATAAACTGAATAATTACTAAAAAAAAAAAAAAAACCAGGTTTAATCTACCATTTTCTACATAAGGAAATGCTTGTACCAAATCGTCCTGAACATGCATGAAATATTTGCCACTGGACGTTAAGCAACCAACAATCAATCAATCAAAGCTTGTACCAAATCAAGAATATGACAGTTGTTATCAATTCGTTTGGTGTGTTTGAGATTAAGATTTTTTCATTTGCTTAATGACTGTCCGATCTCAATTTTACTTATATATTTCATCTGTAATAAGCTACATGTACCAAATCTCCGTCCTCTACCTCGCTATGCATGCTGCTGACTATATAGAAATACAGAATTGGTAGCCTGATCATTTTTTTCACATAATAATTTTAAGACTTCGAAGACCAATTCTGATTCATATGTATTACACTTTTAATAACCGGAGACATTTATTTCATTACAAACATGATTGAATTGTTTAGAAATAAATCAGTTACGGATATCAATTTTTCCAGTTACGTATATCATTGACAATTTATTTACTTCAGGTACCCATATCATCACGATATTTTAGATGGCTGTTTTCTCCCTTTAGCGTTTGAATTATGAAAAAAACACTTACTATTTCAGTTTCAAATTTAGTTATACGTTAAAAAAGACACGAAATACTAAAGAATAATACATTGTCATTACATTGATTGATTGTTGGTTGCTTAACGTCCAGTGGCAAATATTTCATGCATATTCAGGACGAGAACAAATTAACAATAAATACAATAGGTAGGTTCTGTAATAGAGGCGTATGGGGTTGAGGTCGGAGAAATTTAGACTGCCACGGGAAATGAGGGTATATTGGATAGGGACAGAAATTTAGCCTTGCAACAGGCCACCTACGGACCCCTCAAAGAGTTGTTGCAAGGGTTCTTAACGTGCAAAGAGCGTGGCACTCTCTTTACACGAGGCATCGGATTTAACGTCCCCATTCTGACCGGACGTGGCTGCAAATTTGTACATCCCGCACAGCCAAACGGACGCCCCACTTTGACGAGGGTTTTACCGCCGGTCGGAGGAAGACCAATGGTGACCATACTTCTATTCCCCAGTCACCCTTGGGGAAGATTGTCATTACAAAATTGACAAAAGAAAATTTAATATTGACCAGAAACATCGTCCGCCATCTTTGGATATGCAGTTACGGAGATCACATTTACCCCAGTGAAAGTCATTCAAAAAATAATTCACAAATGGCGACCTTGATTGACATGGTAATATATCCTGGGGCATATGACAAGTCTTCTTAACAAATGTTCCGAACGTATTCAAATTCCATAGGTGGAATGCCCAAATAAGGTGAATATGGGCGTTAACAATCATAAGATACACCTTGATTAAAAGCAACGTGAAGTGGAAATTTTATAGAAGAAATAAATTTTAAATTATAAACGGTAAATCGACGAGCATACAAGACAAGAACAGACAGATCTGGTATAAATGATTATGAGGATTACGATTTTTCTTTATCCTGAAGTTGTAATGTCATTCCTTAAAACAAACTAAGAGGACTAGTATAAAAAATTGTAAAATCTAGTACTGTCTTAACGACATACGACAAGTCTGAAATAAGCCGCTTGGAAAGACAACATTGAAATTAGTAATTGCTAAGAATGGCAAAATTTACGACGAGATGTTTATTGTTGTACA